CTTCCTAATATCCAAATTGTTACCTTAACACCTAGTAGTTTCATTTTGTAACCCCCCTCATTATTATTTTTTCTTCACTATAAATATTTTTAAATATCTTTCTTTGTTGTGTGTTCATATGGCATGTAGAATAATTTTGACAAAAAGGTAAAATGGTTAATTGCTCATGGATAGTCCCTCACAGATAATTTAGTCATTGTTACCCACTCCCTTGTATAGATGATTGAATCCATTTTTGATGCATTTTGTAGAGGAAATGTCAGAGCTACATAATAGATCCATTTGCCCCAGGCTTTGGGGGGCTCTGCCTTAATTGCTGTAATTATCATAACTTCAATGAAATGGATAGAGCTCTGACAGTATACTACCAGTTGTGGACTTGCTCCAGGCAACCTAGAAAGGCATTAAAGAGAGCATAACAACCCCTTCATACTATCACAAGAATGTATATGTACTTTAGAAAAAAATTAAGATTTCATGTCTTCTATTGCCCTGTTTTTGCTGGATAATTCATTCAAGAACAGAAGTGGAAGCTTTCTTTGCTTTCACCTGAAATGGCAGGGTATGACCTCTTTCAAAAATACATTATTAATTTATTCATTGTATATGTCACCCTTCCCAACAAAAGCTCAGGGCAGCTTACAATAAGAGAACAGAACAACTTAAAAGGCAACTAAAGTATCAACACAAAACACGACCCCAGACAATTAATTGTCTGTTAAATGCCTGCCCAAATAGGAGGATGTCCAGGCTGGGGCTGTAGCGCATCTTGGGAGGGAAAGAGTTCCAGAGCTGAAGAGCAACTGCTGATAATGACCCACCATATGTTTTCAGCAAGCAGACTCAGCGTATTGGCTGACCTTGGGGATTGCAATGGACCTCAATAATGGTGAATGTTCATGGCTCAGCAGCACCTTTAATCTCGCCCTCTTTGCTGGGTCCTCCTCCCCTGGCAGTAAGTAGCCCAGGGGCAAAAACTGCAGAATTAATTGCCTCTCAGCCACTCAATGGCAAGGGCGGGGGGTGGGGAGGTACATGGCAAAAAGAGCAAGATTAAAGTTGCCACA